CGGATATCTATAAACTTTTTGACATTCTAACTATATCCCCAAATACGAAGCATAATGGAGCAATCGGCACATAACAATGGTCAAGCCATTGCGCTCATTGTGAACGTACTCAGATCACTAAATGTAAGAATCGGTTTTATTAAAGCCCTGCAGTTCCTTTAATGCAGATGGTCTTACGATTGCCCACAAGGGTGTGAATACTGTCTGCTCTCCGTATAATGAACTTAAAGAATACTGTTAATTTCTGAAAGCCACTACGATACACTCCCCTTCCTCCCAAAAAAACTACTTAAGGACCTTTCAATGGAAGGACTATGTAGTTGGCTTCACATATATACATGAAAATGTACATAAAGTCTGGGTAATTAAAAAAAAGAATAGGGACCTCTCTCTACTCCAAATTTGATAACGTAGCACCAAGAGACCTTTTCATATGAAAGTTGCTACGCATCAAATACTCTTCTCGAATGATGCCGCCTATGCTAATACAAAAGATACCCGAAGTCTATGTATAAATACTGCCACTTGGACTGTTGACTGTTTCAACGTCTACTTTCATTCGATACAACAAGTATTCCCAGCATAATTAATCTATAATACCTTTAAAGGTGACATGGTGTCCTGGAGATGCATTTATATGGCCATACACGTTGGTTACTTAACTGTGGATACTTCATTGATACTCCAGATTGTATAAATGGGTCCTTTGTGGTTGGCAAATTAAAAACTGAAGACCATTCTAAGTAATAAACTATTATATTACTAATCAGCAAACTATGCGAATGGACCAACAACGTCGGTTGGTTACAACGCAAACCTCGAACACTGCGCGCTTCTGATATTGATAATGGAACTTATCTATGTGATGGGAGATGGGAATCCACATCCGTCTCACGAATTTCAGCAAATTTCAATAAGATTATGCACGCTAATGACTTGATATGTAAATTATTTAATACTAGATGCTTTCAAAAGTTACGAATTTGACGGTGCTTGTAAACTGGCATCCCTCATGTTAAGCCTGCTAAATGAAGGCGACATTTACTATTATCTAAACTTTAACACCCTATTTACACTGTAAAGCAATATTTCCTCATTCATTTCATAACTGGCAGGACCTTTAGCAGTTTTTAATTGAGTTTAATGACATTCAGTCAGTACCACTGAGGGCTGAAGTCTTGTAGATTATTTGAGATGTATCAACGCGATGAAGCCTGTAAGCTGGCTTCTGTCATGTTAAAACTTTTTTAACGTGAGAATAAAAACATTTATTTATTTACTACTGCAGTCATACAAGTATCCTTTAAGTAGGGAAATATGATGAAAAGGTTCCAGATGGCAGGTTATACAGGAATGTGGTTTTACGAACCCATGCTGAAAAGAAGTTTTGTGTCAGCCGAATGGGCAACTGAGAAACAACGCTTCTAACTGGCTTTTCTATGACCTTTGACAAAGCCGATGTTATGCCAATAAGTCTTTAGATTGGAACGAATGAACGAGATCCCGATTTGAATTTGGGTATAGTGTTTGTCATTTTTCACGCTTCGGGAGTAGACTGCTGCAGACAAAGATATAGAAAATACTTTCATTCAGTGGTGATGTGCCTTTACAGCCGGATTTAAGGAAGGTGAAGGATTCATGTCGAATCTCGGGCAGTTACAGCGTTTCAGTGAAGCTATGCATTTTTTGATGCCCTCCTGCGGGACAGAAATATCAATTATGAAGCCAACTGCTCTAAGAGGGAACTGGGATAGAGATGTGTAGTGCACCTTCCTCGCACCAAAATACAACTAGGGCTAAAACAAATACCTAAAATTAGCTGACTAAGCTTCTAGCTCGCCTCCGGATCCTTTAGGCGTTTTAAGTTTTGTTTTAACGAACATGCATAGGAGCAGGCTTCGATGCCATTTTGCGCTTCCTTAGTGCTAGTTAGCACGCACTTACTCAGAGTCCCTAGCTCAACCACACTAGCCAGATAGGTTGAACAAACGTTTCCCCCCATTCATTACTACTATACGTACTCTAATTAAGTACATTGCTCCTTCGAATATATTCGCGAACCAGTCCTTTTGATTCGTGTTTAATTATCAGCACTTGCACTTTAGGTAGGATACTGGTTAAGCAGGCGCTAGAGCGTATCAAGTTAAGTAGAGTTAGCCAAACGTCACGGAGTGGTAACACACTCCCTACGGGTAAATGGTGATCATAGACATATAAATTCGCGAGGTATATATTTAGTCTCCCTAACATCGGCAGGATCATCAATAAAATTTTTTTCTAGCAAGATGAAAAATATGTTTATTTTACTAGTGTTAGGCCTTTGCCAGCGAACCTTATGGATTGGTTTAGGCCGTGAGTGACTGCCAATGGCAGTTTTTTCTCTGAGTAGTGACTTTTTCTAGTTTATTGAAGGGCTGTGTAGATGTTATGAATGTTGACATGTGCTGAGAAGATTTTGACAATGATGAATTGTTGGTGCAGTTTTCATAGTTTTGACTTTATACTGCTTGGAATGTAATCTTTTGTGTTATAGTCATGTTTCCTTGAGCATTTCGGGACCAGCTGAAGAAATCAGCGGGAGATATTTCCTTAAAGTTGGGTGAGAGTAGTGTCTAGGCCAGTGTGAGAGACGAATAGGTCCTGGTCTAGGTGGTGTAGGATCCGGGTGAACTCATAGTTAGCTTTCTGGAAGCACATGACCAGTGCACTAGAAATAGTAGATTATTTAGGATAACGGCAAGGCCTGAAATCGAATGAGCGACTACCTACACTATAGCCACCTTCCGTAAATACACAGATGATGCATGTCCATAACAATAATGGTGATAATATGCATTAAGAACAATAAGTTATACGAACACATGCCGTTTTTAAAGGCAATGTCTGAAGGTTGATTTCCCGATGAGGCAGAGAAATTTTAAGAGGTATAAAACGTCACACCACGAATAGTCTGCCAGAGTATTCAATTATACGAATGTTGCTGGTCACAAGTACTAGATAATAACGCTTTCGCTACAAAACAATAGTGTGTGGTAACTGAGGTACCGTCACTCAGTGTGAGCTTTCACCAGGCAATGGTGACTAGGCCTCAACACTTCAGTTAATGAGTTTCATAAACGGTGAGAGTGCATAGAATACCAAACGCCGAGGACAACCAATGCTGAAAAAAATGTGAATATTGTTTAGGGCAGAGCGTGCATCTGAGGGGAAAGTGTTAAAACAGGTCAAATTACACTTCAGGACTTCCGTCATCTCTCAGACTAATTGACGATGTGAAGCGGTTCGTCCGTTTTCGAGCAATGAAGGGGGATTGTCAGTGGAGAAATCAAAGAAGGTTAGGTTTGGAAGGGTTTGGGGAAAATGAACCTGTCTCGGGGGGATGAGTTTGATAGTTTTGCTGTGGCACAGTCAATACTTGGGGACACGAGTACGGTAGACGCAGCCTGTAGGTTTCAGTCAACTGCTGAAAGTCTGAATCGTTAGCGGTTGTGAAATCAGTGTTTCCACAAGGAGCGTAACCTATGGGGGTGTCTGAGTCGCATGGGAAAGTCAGGTTTGGTGGGTGAAGATTGGGGGCAAGAACATTTTGGTTTGTGAATAAACCGGAGGTTCCAGTAGGATACAAATTGCCTGCACACCTGGAAGTAGGTACCGAGAACAAAGAATTAGTTTGGATTTCATGCCACCACGCCAACCTGGGGAAAGTGCCTGGGGACTGTAAAATCATTCCCAGTTGTCGCAGGGCTCCCTATGCAACCGCTGGGTAGAGACGTGATAAATAATAATGCTTAGGTACAAACCTTTATGTCCCTGAATCTCCGTCACACTTTGTCTGTTTGTTGTGCCTTGAATGGTTCCCTTGAGTAGATTTCTGTTGAAGAAATGAGCACTAGAATTGTAAGAGAAATTTGAATACCGATAGTTCTTACGCAAAAGATTGTCACTTTAGTAAGAGTGACTCCCTTAAGGATCCTGGTAGTCACGATGGTTAGTAGAATCAGTGACCCTTATTTAAGAGTCAGGTCAAACTTTGGGACTAATTCCCCCTGCATCTTCGTAGGCGTAGCAAGGTCTGTAAGGCGAATGTGAAGAGGGACTTGAGGGATAGACTATTTCCCTGGCAATGCCTAATTGACCTGTGGGCAGATTACGGAACAGATCCTTGCAAGGTTGTTTGGAATAACATGGAATAGGGGATATTTCCTAGGATACCTCTATTTCATTTTTTGAATTGTAACATGAACCATGCAAGTGTCTCCGATTAGAGAGTGAGTTAAAGTGGAATAATATCGGGCAAATAAATTTATTCTTCATCCTAAGAATAACGCAAACTGACTGGCGAAAACCACAGACCCCGAGGAAATTATATTTCTCACGGATTAATGGGAAGATGTTGGACACAATGAGGGGAACATAGTTATAGACAGAAGTCAGTCGTTCACAGGCTTTGCTGGTTATGCGGTTCACCAACGTTTCTTGCGAAAGGATAATGTGAACCAGGATATCTATTGCACGGTATGATAAACACCTTAGAGATAACAAGAAATCCAGCTGAAAGCACAGAAATCCTAGCACCCTAGCGTCATATATATTAGTCAGCACATCAGTTTATATGAAAGTCATCAAGTCGGATACATGGGAGGAAGGTGAGCTCACAAATACACAATTTTCAGGTCTAGATGATAGGCACGGATCATTTCACTCCTCTAAAATCAAGCGGTGTGTCTGAGGTTAAAATGCCAGGTCCTGGGAATTTTTCGTGACGAGATTGCAAAGCAACAAAAATACAGTTTGCTTTTTATGCCCATTTTACCCATTGATGGTTCAGTGCTAACACTACTGTGAAGCATGTCGTTTTGATGATCTTAGCTTATTATAAAATTTTAGGTGTTGGCGAGGCCATGAAATCTATGGAGAAGCAAGCTACACTGCCTTCAAATACATGAATTTGTCGGTGGTATTGGACTGCCGGATTTGTTTAGGTACATCACGTAGCTCGTACTCCCAACGATTGCTCATCTTAAAACTGTCAAGTTACTCGAGCTTAAGTAAGGTCATTTTATTGGGACTTTCACAACGTTATGCAGTCGCAGGAAATTAAGTCACACAGGAATCGTTGAGGCCGGTGAATGTCACTTTCAGAGAGACATCCTCTCGAAAAGTTTGGATGTGAAAGATTGTATGAAGTAGAGTCAGATGTATATTTTGAATATATAGGTGGTCTGTGATCAGAAGGTCACCTGTGAGTCATAATAAAAATCCATTGGTAATAATGAAGTTCTCAAACTCTGGCTTCGCTGTTTGAGTTGTGTTTTCATTTTTTTCTGCTTTCAGTACCCCTTACGTGTGTGTGCACACTGTATGGTACTGTGTACAGCAGAATTACACTCGTTGTATCACTTTCATATTAGTCTCTTACCGGCAAGTTTTTCTTGTTATCAAACGTCATTATCCGCTTTTAAAAGTCAATTTTGTTTGCTCTCAGCATTTTTTTGCCACAACTGAAGTGACGCAACATGGTAAACATTTAGTTGAAGATAAATACGAAAAGGAATTATTGACATGGTAAAACCAGAAAGTTCAACAACTTAAATTACACCTTGTTGTGGGGGTTAAATGGTTTATTTGAGCACGTTACGTTCATCTCCAGTTAACGTCCTAAAACACTACTGATGTAAACTTGATGCAAAGCAAGTAAAAGTGATTTATTACAATGCAAACAATTAATTTTTTGCGCATGGATTCCTTAATGGTCATCATGCAATCCCGTTTTCACAATGGGTTCGTAATAGCGTGTTGTCAGTTCTAAAAGCCCCGAGTAGTTCTAATGGTACATCTTTCTAGAGGCCTCATCATCGTGGATAAATGCTACTTCGCGAAGATAAATATCTCGGGACCTTGCAGAAATGTACATCAGTTGAAATTACGGAAACACGCACGCACGTTGAAGGGAAGAGTTGGCCAATAGGGTGATATATTGGATTGACTATGTCTTCCTTTCTGTCATACAGTTTGTTAGGCAAGAAAGCATCGAGCTATGTCCTTACTATTACGGTAAACCGTAATTATAAATGTAGCACGGGCTAGTACCTTTAGTTATTTTTCAGAGTGTGGAGAAAATGCTGTTGCCGGTTTTGACAAGATAATGTCTTCAAGCTGTACTGTTTTAATGAGGTTGGCAATAAGATATGCCCAGTTTCAGTAGTTGTGCCTTGTCCAATAATATGCTGAATAGGGCTGTTAGAATATCAAAACTAATTACTTTGCCAGAAAGCAACATATTTATTTAGGGTTTTTTGAAGTGGTATACTTTTTCACACATGAGACTGTTAGGTAGGAAAAGAAGGCTTCATTTCCAAATAAGCATCACTTCCGTTTACGAAAAGTCACTGTAAAAGTTTTACAACCTGCTCTTACCTAAGTTACATTGTTAGTGTCAACACTTGGAGATGTAGCTAACTGGTATGGAAACTCCACTTTCAGACAGAGAATTCCAGGCATCAACATACCTTTTACCTACTTCTGGTAGTATCATGAACTCACAAAACAAGTGTGGCTTATAGCTTAATAAGTAAATCTGTAGCAAGTTCAGTTATATTATCTTATATGGGTGTATAAACATTTTAACTGTGAGTGGTTTCGATTCAATGACTCAATGAATTCCCATCGAGCGGTAAGATATGAATTGTATCGCCTTTTGTAACTCTCCTAATATACGAATGCAATATTCTCCATTGGTTTCGTAATCTCATAGCAAATGATTCTGGTTATCTGAGAAAATTTTGATAAGAAGCTTAAATGAATTCCTTGACTAAATATACTGAAGTCTAAGCAATTCGGTTTACATTTAAGAGCGAGTAACAAGGCTGATTTTATACTTTAACGTGTGAGCTCTACTGTTAGTAGATAAAAGATACGGAACCTTCGGATGAATTTGAACTTGTACTAGTGGTTTGCAACTTCTGTGTCTGTTCTTAAGCTCTTGTTACAACTCTGCAGAAACCTGACCTATATTGATTCATTGTTTCGGTATTATAACACAATCTCCGTTCACAGGCATATCTTTACACCAGATTTCGGTAATAAGAAATGAATCAAAAGTTAGTTTATGTTCTAGATCCTAAATGTAGTAGAATATAGCTACTACATATTAGAGGAGAAAGATATCTGAGCCAGCTTAAGCCCGAGAATGGCAATGACTAGTGTCAAACTATAGAAGTTCTGTACAAGCGGCAGATTATTAGAATGACAAATAACTACTTCTATGACTTTGGGTGGTTGTTGACTTCAAAACTGACACTAATATTTCCAGTAATCATTCGAATTATAAATTTGGTTGCAAATGAATTCATTAGGGAAGTCAGTTTGACTTCAGCAAATACTTTGATCGCCACTACACCTTGGATGCTTTTGATTTTGCGTATATTTTTGTCGCCTAACCTGACTTTTTACAGTAGTATGCATAAGTTATTTCCATGACGCAGTACAGTTGTATCGTCTTCGCAATTCGCCATCATACTAGTCTCAAAACATCTGTCAGTGTTGCTACTACCTTTTTTTTGTAGGCAAAACTACTGGGATCAGGTTTAAGTAAAGTTTGCCCTCATATTTCTTTGAATCCAGTATGTTATAGAAGCCTGGAGTGAGGTTGGATTACCCTCTTACTGATGAAGGCGACTGAAGTCATTTAAGTGAGGACAGTCCCTGTTAAGTTGCATTATTGAAACGTTTTCAGAGACCAGCAGTTTTAAGTATAGATCTCAATTGTTGCAGATAACTGACCTAAAGCGGTTAGAAACAAAACACCTAGATAACAGTCAAACTGACAGTTCATGAAGGACCAATGGATTTTCGTATCTACTTTTCAACCCTTGCATAAACGTACTTTATAAAAGCTTACTTTTTTCTCTAACATATTTTGAGTAGTGTGCTCTTTTGTGGCAATGAGACACGTTGCTTTCCACATTTTTGCCCTTAGTTTAAATGGATCTTGAAACAGAACAATTTGTAACAATAATTCACTGTATGTAGTCAGAGCTGTATGAAACATAGGTCTTTTTGAAGAATTTCTCTGTACGATGGTGGGAAATATTAATGGTCAACTACATGTTTTTGCACTATAAAATGAGCAACGTGACTTCCGTGACGGTTTTTGATATCATCAAGTTGAAGAGTACTTGAACCTATGGTCAATTAACTAAAAGCCATTTGCGTGGAATAACTGTCGAACTCATTTGTCTACGCCGTTAAATTTCAACTTATTAGTCACGTATTTTGATGGCTTTACACGTACTGAGTTTTGGGCTGTCAACTTTTATAATCAGCTCTCAAGCAGTAGGTGTGACCCACTAATTATCATATGAAAATAGGATTTTAGCCTTAGTAGGAAAAACTAGTTGTAGCTACTTATTGTAATGTTAATGTCCGGTAAAGTAACTTGATTATGTGATATATTTTCAGTATCTCTATGTCTTCGAAGACATCAAAATGCTTGAGTTCAAATATGTAGCTATAAAACAAAGTGATATCTCTTCTATCCAAATTTTCCTCTTATGTGTGGAACGTGGGAAGGTCGTTAAACTGGATTTGAACTTGAGAACTGACCAAAGTATGGCCAGGGAGTAATAAAATTCATCCTTATTTTTCAGAATGATTCTTAAAAAATACAAAATGGCTCTTCTGTTTATGCGCATTGATTAAAGGTCTTTTGAATTCTTGATATGTATTCTCAACATAACACCTCTTAAATTGGTTAATAGTTATGTATTTAGGCTGATAATTGCTTTTCTCAACTTTGTTTCTTATCTGCAGCAGCTGTTTTGATATACTTCGATCCAGTGGTATGGGATCATAGTTTAGGTAATGTTTATAATAAATAGTTTGACTATAAGCTAAGTCTAGCTGTCGTAGATAAGTTTGTTTGTATCTTTTACTTACTCGTTGGTTTCAAACCTCTTTTTCTTGATATAGATGCTGAGATGCATTTTTAACTATCTGCAATGAGTAAATAACTTTAATGTATTTACTGTTGATCCTTCCATGTGGTTGTTTAATGGTATTCTAGGAAGGAATGTCAGTCAGTCATTGCCGATATGACCTGAGAGTATTGCACAATTGCAGAGGAAGAGATGTATTTCTTACTGAATGATGAGTAGTGATGTTATAACAACAAATAAACTAATATACCTTGATATGAGTTGTTTGAACTGATAACTGAAGAATATATTAAGTTGAAATTGTCACATGACTCTGAGTTTTTTCATACCTCTCTATCTGAATGTCGCTGCATTTGGTACTTTTTACTCATGACCACGAGTCAGTGACTGAACTAAAAAAGAGACAGACACGAACTCAGCATACGGCCTGGCATTACTGCGTAATGGTCCGGGTTACTACAAATATCAGGATGTTAAGTAAGAAAGAGATAAGATGAGATGTAAAGTAATAGAGAAGAGAGCAGTCAAAAGTTTCAGAAAGTCGTGAAAAAAGAGGAAGGAGTAATAGGAAAGTAGTGATTTCAGCATGATTATTAAGATAATTTTAATGAGCGGATACATCTGCGCCACTGATATCGAATCTCAACCATGTCACCTAGACTACCAACCACTGGTTTCTGCTGTCACGCAGACCCCAAACGGGAAGTCAACATTCTCTTGCACGGCCCAAACTGATAACTGAAGACTTCATGCACTGATGCCATGTTTTATTCTGGTCACCTTTAACCGTTTTCCAGCCCAAACCTACTTCAGCTAACATTGTGACGAGGCAGACGGTGTAATTCATGTCCCAACCAAGTGAGTCAAAGAAGGTTCACAACCCCATATACTGGCTTTCCTCTTAAGAATGTGGTGATAGCATGGCACACGGTCTGTGGTATGAAGGCAAGAGGTATCGAACACCTGAAGCCTGTACTTTTAACGGCCATACTTCATAGCAATGTGATAAAACAGAGCAAGCTGCAGCTGAGTAGACTCGACCCTTAACAGACAAGTGGACATCACAGTGGCACCATAAATGGTGCAAGACGAGATGTATGCAACCTTTGGACTATCAGTCTTCTCCCAATCCCAATGCACAATGGAAGTCAAAAACTAATTACTCATTATTCTTGCATGTCGGGCAATCTGTCATACATATGTACAACTAAATTGCGTGTCCATAACGAACGGTACTTAGTGGGATTGAAATAACATTTCATGCACAGAAATTGGGATAGTACGCAATAATCAACTTCACTTTACATGTAGTTATTTCACAATCGTAGATTATACATATATGAGTTAAGAGTCCATATAGAATGATACTTCAAATCTTGACTAAAATATCTTTTAAAATAAACAAAACAATACAACTGATGAAGCTTGTCTGAAATTTCAATTTCCTTGGTCCATTATGACAACTGCTCTAAACCCTCAATGCTAGTTTAAACCTGTGCAATTTGTTAAAAGTGATTTCACACGGCACACATGTCTGTGTATGATAAATGCTATTCGTAAAACATATAACTGCTTACCGTTGCTTTGGTTCTACACCCATAATGATGAAGACAATCTGGAGAGATATCATGGTTAACACAAATCAAACATGACGAAGTTACCTTAGAAATAACTGAAACCATATATTGTTACAAAACTCTCACTGTTGTTTTCATAAATTTATTTTCGTGCTTAGTTACTCATGTAAATACAGTTGTAAAGATTCTGGATGATTTCGTCGAAAAGAATACTCTTTTTTTGATCTGTTTCTATTTGAATAAGTGCATTCGTTAATAATTGTCAGCTATACTACCAATTCCATTCATTATTGGATCTAAAACTTCTAGACTTGCCTGAGTGGAGATATGGCTCATTGAACTAGGCAAACAGAATTTGACCAGTCAGATTCGTGTCTTGTAAATAATTTCCTTAGTAAGATTTGGGTAACCAAGTAGCTCTTCTTGTTTCACAGTAGATGTGGACGTGGTTAATTCTACTAAGCAGCTCCTACGTTCAAACACCGATCCGCTTGACAGTTCATATCAGGTAGTACCGGACATTATCATACAATAAGTGTGGTTCTGTAACTCAGTATTCAGGCGTGTACTGGGTTTTTGAGCTGTGCACATTAGGTATGGTTCACAACTTATATGAATTCAGTCATCAACGAATGTTTCTGATGATAAGTTGATGAAATGTAGGTTTTTAGCCTTCTAAGATAATCTTTGCCAACAATTAGCTTAACTGGGAAACTACAGGGTCCTAGATGCTATTTCCTTACAAATTTGTTGCCATGTCCCATTGACTGACGGACGAAAGCAATACAGTTACAATAATTAAGGAATTCATATATGAAGGCGAAATGAGCTGTAGGCAGCTGATTAGTTGTGACAGTAATGGAGAACAGATTTTTATTTCGTTGATGCTTTCGGCAATAAATAGACTTTGATATTTACGAGTTATAATCTGATGAAAAAAGATTATGAGGAACGATTCATAACTATTAAACACTTCTTTTTTTTCTCTAACTTCCACTTTCAGCTTTATCGTAACCCCTATACTTTTCCATCGTATCAAATGCATTTCGTAAACAATACTTCTGATGTCTACACAAGATAGTTTAGTAATAAGTGGGCAGTTGGAGATCTATCTTCGTAATACATGGATACCTATTAAGGCCACTTTGAAGAACGATGCTTTGATCATTGAGTTAGAACATAGTCCTAACATTCCTAACAACAATCACGGTGAGTTGTTTTACTGCTTACAAAATTGCATCAAAATTGTTTTTCAAGATCTTTCTAGTTAAAAATTTATTCAATCGGGGGTTGTGAATAATTGATTTAATTTGAAGAAACAAACCCTACTCAGCTGAATAATTTATGGAATGCATGAGCAATAAAGACTGATTTCATTGTAACTGAATGTTTCATTAGTGACCATACTAAGTCCCTCTCTAAATAAAACTCAAAACATATAGCTCTGAAGACAGATTTGTTACTTATCAAGCTAAAAGCAATAACGGATATTTACTAACAGCATTGTACTTCTGCACGGTAACCAGATAACAAAAGAAGAGTGACTTTAAAGGACACCTCAGGAGCTGCTGAATACATCAATCAGGCTCTGGTATTTCGCTTAAAAAAGTACTTTCCCATAAAATAAAGGAATGTAATTGGCTATCTCAGCAGTTGCTAAGGTGACCTTTAAAGTCGCCCAAAAGAATGAACGTGACTTATTGATTAGAGCTAAAAGAAAGATGTTCATAGGATTTTTGAGCTAGAAAGCATTAAGTGTCTGGCGCTCACTGATTTTCAAAACTGTTTGGTTGGTTAAAATTTATTATGAAAGATACTTCTTAGTTGCCTTCTACTGTTAATGCATGAACGCATCCCACCGTATTTAACTTCATATCATTGACTGATACAAAACCCATAGAAGGGTAGTGAAATGAAAATATGTCTATTTAAAAACATCGTAACCTTTGTTTATAAACTTTTCTCTCTGCATAAATCTCATTTACATCTATGATGTGTAATTGATTGAAGCTTCAACGTATATTTTATCATTGTTTTTGTGATGTATTAAAATGATAGTTTATTGAACATCGGATGTTTACCTGCACACATAACTTAATACATTTATTTCCTGAGATGAATTTAAACAAGACAATCAGAACAACATTTATAGAAGGGTTCTGAAATGTCAGTTAATGTTTAGAAGATCGGAGAAACCTTATGTTTAACACTGTGAAAGGTGTCCATACGTTAAAATTCAGTCAAACCAAAGATAAGTTAAAAAGACCAAGGCAAGGAATGTTCTTGGATAAATGTGACAAGAATGGGTATACTTTGAAGCAGTGACGCGGTCAGGGGGAAAAACAGTCTCACTCAAATGATATGTTTGAGATAAATTGTTGTAATAATGATAGACGAAACAATAGTTTATATGAATGAGGATGGGGATGAACATCAGAGAAAAATACCACAATTACAGAAAAGATATCAAGGTGAAAAATCAATAATTATCAGGGTAGTTATCAACTATTAACTTTCTTCTGTTGATAATACAATTCGGGCCAAATTTGTCGAATTACAGCGGCTTCAGCAATCCGAATTCAAGGTTGTGTGTAGCTGATGAAATCCTACTAACTAAAATGATCATCTTCTACTATCCAAATGCTATTCTTATTACATATGTGTGGTCTTAGTTTACATTTTCTCATAGTGTTGTGTTCAGAGGCCAAGGTATCAACGGCAAATACCTAAATGTGTTTCTTTTTGACCATACTAGCTTTTCAATTAAATCGTTTGACTCGAATCCAAGTCAAGCAGAAGTAAATAAGGGAAGATGACTAATTAATAGATATCCTGAGGTAATAGGAAATTTTATTTTTAAGTTACTATTCATCATGGACCGATATCAGGTGGAGAACTATCATTGTCTAGTGCGCAAGATGAGTTTCTCGAGCTTCTAACGGGAAGTCAACACTTGTGGAGTCGGTCAAGGCACAGATGAAACAGATGACCAATAATCAAGTTGGATGATGGTCGCGAACGTAGCTAAATTGACAGAAGTAAGAAATTGTGGACCATTGGGCTCCGACCTAGTGGCTGGATGATTAACACTTTCGCCGTAAAACCTGAAGGTCCTGAGTTTGATCCTTGGTGATGTCATAGGTGCGTACCGCTGAGGAGTCCCACACTAGGAAGAGATCATTGTCTAGTGCTCCCAAGTTCTCGATGGTTTTCCAACTGATTTCAGTCCGTGATGAATGCTAACTTAAGGTTAATTAGTAGTCCAGAGTAGTCAGCTAAATCATACATAGACAGTTCAACTAGATATTAGTAATTCGCATAAATTTCTATACAAAATTAAGGTGTGGTTGTTATAACTACAAGGATTTTTTAGGGTCAGTGGGAAGAGAGTCTTGTATTAAATGTGATTGTCGTTTTAGTAATTAGTTGTAGAAGTGTTATAAGAAATAAAACGTAGTGTTGCGCTGCATAAATAAGCTTACATGATTATGTAAGGTGAGAAAAAAAGCATTATTTTGACTCATACATTCAATATATCTACTTGCTTAAATCTCGATGGAAGGAGTTTTGTTAAAATTTCTTGACCCATTGCTTGAAAGTTGACTAAGAGTAATAAGCCTCAATTTAACACAGTGGTCTACATTTGGATAAAGTAATTTGAAGACACAGATTATCTGAAAAATATGATGTATTTTGCGCCATACATTTCGAACAGTCGGATCACACATTTATTTGTTAAGGCATTATATATGAAAACTGGAAGTGGAGGAAGGATAAATATGACATGAAGGAATTCAATCATAAAAAGGTAATGAAAGGAAGAAGAAAGATAAGAAGAGTTGAAGACAACCTTTGTAATACGATAAAATAAGCATTACCAGAGTATGCTTAGCATGAGGACAAGCTGTTTCTGCACACACAACCGGGAGTTAAATTTGTTCATGGCTAGGGCTTCAACAAACCTAAATATACCACCCTGAGAGTTCAGTTCCTCTGCAAAACTGTGAAGTCTATTTTAATATCAATCCTGTGATCTTTATCTATGATATGTTTTGCAATGGATGATGGAGGTTCTCTGCCACCTGCGCTTATCGATGTTTGTGAAATCAGCTGCTTTTGTAGCCATTTTGGTACATGTTATCCTACCGTGAAGTGCCTATCTCGATTAGTCCTCATCTGTGTGTGTGTGTGTGTGTGTATGTGGACACACACATTTAAATTTATAAATGCAGTGGGATGTGACACAATCATTTATGTAAGTCATGCGATAAATTAGTTATTGGAAAGAAAAAAATGCTGAGTTAAGCTCAGTTAGTTGAATACATTGTATACAAACAAAAGATGATGCAACCGAGTAAAATTGGAGCAGTAAACATAATTTAATAAAGGATGATGTAATCAAACAACGGTCAGAAAAGTTACCAATGAACACAGAGGTTGACTACATCTTTTTGAACACAAATCATGTGTGAGGCGTTCAATAGCTACGGACTCACCAAACTTCAGGATAATTTAGCTTGTTTATTCGTTTATTATCATCGAGACGTCTGCCTTATATCCAGTATGTTCAGAGTGTTACGTATTCGTCAATTGAATATGCGTCTCAGGTTATTTATGAGATGAATTATGATTGCTGCTTTATGCATATCATTGGAAAAAGGGGGTAGAGTGTATCTGGTTGGATAGACTACAACAGATTGTTGCTTGGAAAATCGTTTGTTCAGATGAAAAATAGCCTACATACTTGTTATCACACTTTCTACTCAGTCGATCCTGCAGGCATTTATCGGTACAGTAAAGTGGATGGATAAATAAAAATGAGATTAGGATTTTCCGTGAAACTGGCATTTGACCTATCAGTTGTGAATCTTCTACGAATCAAAAACAAATTAGTTCAACCGATTTCCTGTTTACCATGAAAGCATAGTCTATGAAGAGAGTTTTAGATCTCTCTACTGTTTATTAAATTTTTTGCATGATTTAGAATTTAGGAAAGAATCGAGTAAGGTCTTTGGTTCAAGTTTACTCGTAAAGCTAATTAATACACAGTTTCAGTTATGTCCATTTCTTTCGTATCAGAAAAGTGTTCAGAATTTCTAGCCCACATTTACCTTCCTTATTTCACTGAACATGACGGCTTAGTGTAAATGATAAAATGCCTATGGAAATTTCATGAATATCACTAGCAGTTATTCTTTTCTTTTGACCTCCCAGTTTCTGCCTTGTAGAATTTTCGACTGTTTAGGACTTTTTAAAGGTTGATAGGCTTTCGATGAATTCCTTGTTATCTTTGTATCAATATTACCTAGCATGCAGTCCAGTCATTCAAAGGAGTTTAATAAATCCCAGGAAACACTGCAAAATGTCATATTGTAAACTCAAGGGGTGACAATCTTATTCCGTTTGGAAATATGGGAAAGAAATAGTTATCTCCCATGTCTTTGTTATACATAAACGCAATAGAAAGTAAGTACACGCTGAATAAACTGCAAAGTAATAAATGAAATTGCTAGAAATGTTTATGAATTTGAGGCTAATTCCTTCGACCAAGGTGGATTGGACTTGTGCTGCTCATGCCAAGCCATCGCCTTCCTTGAGGTGCAACGCTAGGAGAAGTTAGGTGGCCTGGTCAAGACATGATACCAGTTGATGAAGTCCCTGACTGTTGATTTGAGCGCTGAGGAGAGATGTGGACTAGTTGGCTGGGGTACCCGAGACGAAAAGAATGAGTATTTGGGGGCTCTTGATGACATGACTGAAAATCCGTCACAATGGCGCAGATGTATTCACTCCTCTGGGTCTTCTAAAGCCTGAATATCCACGCTAACCTTTATCGTCAAACTGCTTATTTTCTCATACACGTTTGCCTACCTTGATATCAGCCTTTTCTTATTCACCTGTTCTTTGTATGCTACTGTGAATCTTGGCAACCTGGACCGATGCACTTGTATGCGTGTTTTTACTTTTATTTTATCTGTCTGTCCTCACTTACAAGATAGGGGCATGAAGTTGGATTATGACATGTAAACCAGTTGAATACGTTAGCTTAAGTGATAATGTATCCGGGTCTTTTTGAATGGATCAATAAAAAGATACTATCCATCAGCGAAGAATACCTACTGCAGTAGTGCTTAAAGTCAGTGGATACAGCATAGATGGTTCCTTCTAGTTGAAAATTGATTTGAGGACCATCTTCTTCTCTAAACCTTATTCATTGGTGCCTTTATCAGCCAGCGTTTCAAATTTGTTCTACCAACTTTCAATAATAAATATATTATGTAATAGAGAGTCAAACACATATCACCAATACTATTATCAATAAACTTTTCAGGTCAGTATGAAGTATGAAAGACTAATTCATACAACTGAGGTGGAATACTTATTCAAGTAAGGAATTTCTATTTTGTACACTGAATTTACATAATAAGTGTAGGAAAAAGAGAAGAATGTTTTGTGAATAAATCTGTTGACTAATTCTGTAAATGCTTTTTATCCTGAGGATAAATATAGTTATGACTGAATATTGAATGAACTTGACCAAGTCCTATCAATCTTACTAAACAAGTGGTTTTCAACAAGCTATTCAAAGAAATAACCAGTATTATATAGTGTAGTCTGTAAACTGTAGTTAAATTGTCTGGTTGTACACTTGAAAGTGTTATCTGTTCATGAATAACACCATGATTCCCACTGGACTAGTTAAGCTTTGTGTGCGAAAAGATTGGCTGGTAGTTTATTGATGGATTCTAGTCATGATGATTCGATCTTTTTGAGTAGTGGCAGTCATCAAACTGCAAACGAGTAAATATTATGCTTTAGACATCAACGATTGATCTTCAGCAGGGTTTGCTTAAGTTTCGTGACTGATGACACTTATCAGGAAGGCGTATCTAAGACTTTGAAGAAACTCATGTTATCTAGAAGATTTGAACATGAGTCATTTAGTTTTGAAGTGTGAGACTTTACTAGTGAGCTGTTTGGTTGTAATAAGCTGATAGAGCTTCAACGGCCGTTGAAAATCGGGAATTATTTCACTAGATACATTCTTCTGATAAATTCAAAAGTAAGAAATACAGACTAGGAGTACTGTTTTATTTTCATCGGTTGGTGTCGACAATTGATGAAGAATGTCTTAAAACTTTCTTACCTTTCGGTCATGTAACATGTACATTTGCGAATTCAGTCATCAACCCTGAACACATCAACTATTTTAGTAGACAGAGTTATGTCATTTAATTAGTTACTTTACTTACTCATGTAGAAGAACTCTGTTTTCCTTGAATCTTAACTCTTTCCATAGGTGGTTGAATTCACCCTAGCTTTTTAAATGTCTATGTGATACGTGTGTAGTGTTTGAAAAATGTACTGGTTACATCCTCCTAAGTCTTGTTCATAATTTTCAAATTTTCCTCTCAGATGAAGATATTTCGTCGGCGAAACGTCTGGTACGCATAACAAAAGAAGAGCTCAATGGTCTAGGCATCAGTATTAAAGGTGGTCGAGAAAATAAGACACCAATATTAATAAGTAAAATATTCAAGGTAAGCCAGCCATTATAGTATTGATATTGAATTGATCTCATGTTTATACTGTTAACGGGGAGTACTGAAGAACTTTGAAGTCAATAAAATGAAGCTTGCCTTTTATCTTGTTTTAAAGTTTTAAGTTATCTACAACATATTGCACATATCGCTAGAAACTATTACAAATCGTGTAAATTGGCGCGCATTTCTGACTTGTCGAATACTCCTAAAGTATGAGTAATGCTTGGTTGTTGAATAATATTTCTAATACTATTGAAGAAAATACAAAAAGTCAAACATTTATTATCAGTTAAATGACAGTATGTAGGCAGAAATTTTTTTTTTTCAGTATAGAATTTATCAGCGTTCAGAAAATCTGTTAATTTACTGATATCAAATCTTACTATTTAGCGTCTTCAGTCATCGATTTCTAATATTTTGCAAACCTCACGTAGAAAAACTAAACTTCTCTTCATAGGTCAAGAAAAGCAGTCAGTGATTACTTAAATCCTTCTGCCCTACTCATATTTTTACATTATCTAATTTCGAATACTTTGATATACTAAGCACATCCCAGAAATAGGACGATGCAAGTTCGTAATGACTTACTGATCTTCCTTTGTCACCAATGACAATATTCTCCTCCTTAACACTGATTCCATCACAAAGGATTAGTATCCCGAAGACATATATGATTCAATGCATATTTACATCCTGTTTCTTCTTCTTCTTCTAAGGATCTCTAGCAGCGTACAAGGTAGTCATATTATACCTTTATACTTCAATCTTTATTCAATTGAGAGATTATGACTGAGGTGCTCAGGGCATAAATTACGTTTGCTGGACATCATCCTACTTAAAAGCACAGAGTTAATTGTAGTTAGGTTATGTTGTAAGTAAGAAATAGTGGTCGAATGAAGACGTGATAGCAATCCACAGAGCTTCTGACTATTTATCAGAGTTTTGTCGACAGACAGACATAGTAATTCGCTTGATGATCTCCAAGAATTATGAATCAATGGTTAGAGAAAGCTCTCAATCGATTGAAGTAGAAGAAATGTACTTACTACTCATGATCTTCAGTGCTTGAACATACTATCAATTTTAGTTTATTGTCTTCTTCTTCTGCCTAAGCATTTTAATGTCATACTCTTTCTTTTAAGTTATTCATTCTGTTCTCTCCAGAAGTGGACAAATTGAATCGCCGCATTCTGTGCACCATTCTATCTCTTTAACTATCCTAATCATCATGTTAACCTAGTTTCATTTGTTGTAAGTTCAGATCTCAAGCATTTTTCTCGAACTATAAATTGCTTACATTTGCCCTGGTGATAATTGGTCTGATTCTTAGATTAGACAAGGATGCAAGAACATCGTTAGAGAGCAAAGTCAAAAGACATTCATCGTAATATAGCTATCTCGTTTATCCTCCTTTAGAAACTTAAAGTTTTTTGTGTCCTTTCGATTGTATACCCTATGAAAGTGTTTGCTGTCTCATAAAATATTCGAAGTCATTTGGCAGCCTTGGAATCGAGGTTCTTAAGTGATGAGGATGATTTGTATTATGTATCTTCAACCTTGAAAAAAAACCTTTTTTTGATACTGAAATGCACCCTACTCACTGTCTGTATCCGCATGTACACCTTATTCTACATATTAAACACTACGTGATGGTGTGAATTTAAATATGTGAGGAAACATAAAATTTAAAACAAAAACGTGACGTGTAGGAAGGTCTTCTTTTGAACAATCTTATTTCCGAAAGCCGTAGACTCAAATTCATGTTCTCCAAGAACAATTTAAAACCAGACGGATAATCATTACGCAACCAGAGGACTAGTCTGTAAGCGGAACGGAAAGTGATATTACTTAATAAGTGTGGTAGTCAGTCAGTCAACCTAAAAGTGCAGAAAAGGGGAGACGAGGTTAAAATCGTAAAAACTGTGGAAAAAGTAGAAGTTGGCGGCATGCCATGGTGATGAGTGTCCACAAGCGCAATTAAATTCAAACGTCTAGTGCCAAAACAAAGTGAACTACAGTCGCATGTCACTTAGGTCAGTTGCCAGTGGACTTCGACAATCTTTATGTTTAAGTTTTGCAATACTTTATGTTTATGTTCGTCGTAGTTGGCGGTCACTTCAAAAAGTGTTTTTGCTTATATACTACTTCTTAGCAGTACATTGGAAGTGTTGACAAAATCTAGTGTAAAATGTGTTAAATGGAGCCGGAAAAAATTAGTGTCTAACCATACTGAGTTAAGACCATATTTCTATCCATCCGATCAAGAGTAAACTATTTGTTATGAGAGCTGAAAAACTTAATTTCATTTAGTGAATGCTTTCAGACTGCGTTACTAAACGCTTTGCAACTAGTGAGCTTTGTAGAATGGAAATCGATTTCCAGGGGAAACGATTACAATGAAGAGGAAGTCCAGCCTAGTGAATTGACCTCTTGACTCGAATTCTGCAGTGCTCCAAGTTTTCGTAAAAATTCAATCATAATCTTGCTATTGTAAGACAAGTCTACTGAGTCGAGGTTATCTCAGCTGATACAATCGAAAGTCGATTTCACAGAGTATACAATCGTCAATAGTCTAATAAATCCTTAATGTAGAATTTAAGCACGCTATACAGTAATTTTCTCGTTACGAGTATAAAAGAGTGGAAAATGAATCTAATTAAATTCTCCAAGTAGTGTTCCACAGTGAGCTTTCATCTCACAAATTATACAGTTTCTGTTGAATTAATGAGGTAAAGTTTTGTAATCTGTCTATTTTTTGTGTTCAGTTCAAATTTTATTTCTTTTTCAATCAAACAGTTCAGTTTTTCTTGTTTCTTAAAAAATTGTGTTAAACTTGTGTTTTTAAAAATAAATAAATCACTTGGATCCAGGGAATGGCAGCTGAACAAACAGGTCAACTGAACGTTGGTGATGCAATCTTATCAGTCAATGGTGAGGATCTTCGAAATAGTACACATGATGAAGCTGTTCGTGCTCTGAAACGTGCTGGTCGAATTGTGGAACTCGAAGTAAAGCATATGCATGAAGTGACACCGTATTTTCGGAGGTAATAATATTGCACTTTAAATATTTTTCATTTGTAACAGTAAATACCGACATTGTAGTAGGCATTATTTCAACTCAGATTTTGTTTGATTTAATAGTTATATTCTTCTCTAAACTTGAGTCCTTGTTAGAGGAGCTGTTAAGGTCAGAGTAGATGTTTCTTCACTGGAGCTTCTTCGTCAGCATTTATATAGGTTATATGAGTTCTAAACACTATATGGTGTTGACGATAATAATAAAACGAATGGTGACACGGGTATTTGTGATTATGATAACAGTTGAAGTATGAATGATAACAAAGTAGATTACGTAGTACATAGAATGGTTCATGGATGGTGTATGACTGAGAAACAGATGAAGGAATTGGTAAAAGTGGGCACATCTATGAGCATCTACCAGTTCACCTGCTCTTGTGCATCAAGGTACATTGCCTGTAGTCAGAGAATGCTTTCCACACATATACAAGAGTATATTCCAGCTTGGTTTTACGAAGGTGAAAGAAAGTCTGTTAGAAGTTCTATTCAAGAACATCTGATTGATTTCCATCGCTCAATAAACTCAGACAATGGCTTTAAAATTATTTATCAAATTCGCCCAAACCTCCCACGTTTTCTTCATTTTCAACTCCTTAAAACAGCCGGAGGCTTTAGCTATTCATGAACTGATGTATGTGTACAGAAGAATTATGTACAATTACTATTTTTACCTTGGCCATAATATTTCCTCACCCCCATTATTCCCCCCTTTGTTAATTCAATCTTCGTATCCTTCCTTTATCACTGTTTTTATTACTATTATTATAATTGCCTTAACTTTGATTAGTTTCTGGTGTCATTTCACTTAATTGTCTTAATCTTCTTAGAAAATATTGATTTCATCTTGACCAACTCGTCTAATCTTATTACACAATACTTAATTGGTTTACCCCTTTCATCAATTTTTCACCCTTTTCTAAGTTATGTACCATCCATGAACCATTGCATATACTACGTAATCTGTTTGTCATCATTCATACTTCAACTGTTATCATAATCACAAGTACCTATGTCATCATCCGTTTTAATATTACTGTCATCATCATATGGTGTTTAGTTTTTCTCACAAGATATAATTTTTCAAATATCATGTATATACGAATGCACAGCTTGAGAATAAATTCGTTGGAAAGAGTCTCTTCGCTGAATATTTTGTTCTTGATGTTACAATGAGAATTATTGATCTATATGAGTTCTAACAGTCTAAGTAAGAAAATGAGAAAACTTGTGAATTCATCATTATTATTTTTTCTCTCTTGCTTCAGTTGCAATGAGTACTCCAGTACGAATACACAATCTGCATCAGGAAGAGATAAATGTCTTGGTTGTACTGTGTTCTCAGAGCTGAGTCGTTTAATCGTGAAGCTTTCATCGTCTTGCTAGACGACATCATCAGTACTAACTTCAGTATGAAGTGTCGATGAAATAGTAAACAATAAGCAGCAGTGTGTACTCTTAAAAAGTTCACAGATTACAATTTAAACCACTTTCGAAACACCAAATAACATTCAGTTAACGGAAGATTCTTTCAACAAGGTTTTATGTGTCGATTTAAGAGTAAATTTTAACATTTAATGAAGTGAGAAACTGTGAAGCATCTGCTTTATTTCTAGTTGCCCTTGTAAATGTTTATCAGGGATGTATGTTTTAGCGTTTTGCCTTGCTGCAGTACAAACATTGTGTAGGTTAACACTTGACTGGCTATCCGTGAGACTTTAAACTGCAAGAATATTGAGACTAACGAAACAGTGTCTATGGAAGTTGGTCACTCTGATTGTGATCAATTGAAATTCAATGTACATATGATTTTTGTGCCTTTAGCATGATCAACAACATGCCTTGAACTAGCTCAACTGATCATTATTCAGTCACTAATTTTTGAGATAAATTTAAATTTCGCTTTGTTTAATAATTACATCCTAATTATGATGCTATTTCTATTGCATTCTTAATAAGCCGGTATTATTTTTATTCATAACACAGAAGCTAGATATCCTTTGAGAGTAGAAGTGGGTAAAAAATAAAAATCCTTTTTTACAGTTTAAAGCGTTTACTTTTTGATCCCTTTCATTTCATTCTGTTCAAAATTTGACAGATATCTATGTCAGCTGTAAATAACTTACTGGCATTATTTTCAATGGATTACAACTACGTATCACAAGCAGTTGTACGCCTTTTTGTTTGTTGGCGTCTTCTGTTTTTCCTTTATATTTGAATCCTTTTGATTTTTTTTAGTGATTCTTTTCCACTGACAAAAATTTTATTAACCGTTTGTTTGTTTGCAGCCATTTTGTAAAAACAGAAACTAGATAACTGTTAACTGTTGTTCTGGTACTGACCTACCTTATTGTCTTCATGCTGCTTATTTGTACATGTTATCACAGAGAACTACGTGTCGCTTGCGTCAGTGGTGTCAACCTTTCAATCGATTAAGTACCAACAAAAAAGACAAGATTACAGTTTGTGAATCCCTGTTAATTCACTTACAGTTCCGAATAAAACTAATAATAATAGTATTAATAATAATAATACAGGTAGTGTACTTAGAAGACGAAGTTTATTTGAACATGTGATTGGTGTATTTGCGCAATACATATCGAACATTCTGATCACACATTTACTTGTCAAGTCAGTTTACATTAAACCAAAGAGTTGGAGGACAAATGTAACAATTAAGATAATATGAGATTAAAAATAAAGATGAGAACAAACCAAAGAGTGACATGGTTGATCATAATCTTGGTAAGTAAACAAAGTTTACCAAGGCAGGTGTAGTGTAGGGGAGTTGAATAGTATACTTTTGAGACGTAGACTAACATCAGGCATTCGGAAAACATTCTATAGGAATATGAGCAATCAATTCTGCTCACAATGTCAAGTAAATGTGTGATCGATCAGATCGTTCGAAATGTATTGCGCAAATACACCACATTGTTCAGATAAACTCTGTCTTCTAATCACACTATCTAAATTCATAAAAGGGACTAACTGTTTCAACTAATCGTAATCATAATCATAATAATAATAGTACGGAGTTTAAATAATTAATTGCGTGTCATTGACAAAGCAGAATCCAAAATTAAAAAAGTTGTTGCTTACCAGACACAGATTATCTGAAAAATATGATGTATTTGCGCCATACATTTCGAACAGTCAGATCACATTTATTTGTTAAGGCATTATATATGAAAACTGGAAGTGGAGGAAGGATAAATATGACATGAAGGAATTCAATCATAAAAAGGTAATGAAAGGAAGAAGAAAGATAAGAAGAGTTGAAGACAACCTTTGTAATACGATAAAATAAGCATTACCAGAGTATGCTTAGCATGAGGACAAGCTGTTTCTGCACACACAACCGGGAGTTAAATTTGTTCATGGCTAGGGCTTCAACAAACCTAAATATACCACCCTGAGAGTTCAGTTCCTCTGCAAAACTGTGAAGTCTATTTTAATATCAATCCTGTGATCTTTATCTATGATATGTTTTGCAATGGATGATGGAGGTTCTCTGCCACCTGCGCTTATCGATGTTTGTGAAATCAGCTGCTTTTGTAGCCATTTTGGTACATGTTATCCTACCGTGAAGTGCCTATCTCGATTAGTCCTCATCTGTGTGTGTGTGTGTGTGTGTATGTGGACACACACATTTAAATTTATAAATGCAGTGGGATGTGACACAATCATTTAAACAGCATTAATGTCTATACTGCCGCAGGTGTTTGGTCTTCTCAACCACGATAAGCTTAGCTGCATAATATGTTTTGCTAACGGTAGATCTTAACCTTCATTTCAATATTACGCTATTACATTCACTTTGTATGTCAACATGATATAAACACATTTTTTCGAAACATAGTAAAGACTGACTCAACAAGTAAATCTATGATCAGATTTTTAGAAAATTCATAGTGCAAATCATCATACTTTGTAGATAATCTACTTTTTCATATTGTGTTGTCGAAAGTAACGTGGGAGTTAGGTATAGGCTTTTGAGTAGAAGAAGAAGGTTGGACGAATAGGTTGTGAACGCCTATTGATAAAGACATGTATTACACACGCCGACTCACTGCCCACGTCAACGTGCAGTACTAGTAGAAGTTGGGAGAAGGCTCAGGGCGACCAGACCTTTACGTAAATAACACAGTACTAGATTCTTGTGTCTGTTCTGTTGATACCAATGGAAATAATAATTTATGTAAGTGCTAGAAAACTGATGACCACATTTATTTGCTGCTGTTGTTCTCTCGCACAGTTCGTTAGCAAATTAACAATCCTTTGTACCACCACTGGGATTGAAATAAACACAAATGAAAACTCTAAGTAAGCAAACTGAACACAGTTTATTTGGAAGTAGGTGTTTCTTCATAAGCTGATCCAGGATTTTATTATAAGAACTTAAAGTGGTCTGATTATCTATTTTTTCAGAAACTAACCAGTGAATAAGGTGACTTGACTTTTTTAAAAACTTGGTACTGTATGCAAACTTAGTAGGTCATTTTTCAAGTGTTGAACGAATATAAGGTGTAAAAAGAGTCATAAAATATCGAAATTTGTCAGTCGATCTGTTGTTTTATCTTTTTACGAGCTCATGTCCAAAAGCTTATCCACACTAATGACTCGTTCTATGTTATGGATAACAAAAATCCAGTTTAGATTTTTTGTGTTAAAGTGTCACAGTTTCTAGATATATGATGCTCAATTTTTTCCCCTGTATCTTTTTTTCTGTGTGGCTTTAACCAGAAGAGGAGAGTTTCTTTTTTATTTATAAGAATGATATATAGGCATAATTATTCTTGTTATTGCCCCTAGTTAACAAAGGTTATCACATAAACCCTATTGCTTACTAGAAAATGAACGGGTAAATACTAACGATTATTAGTAGTTTTGATTTCTTCAAAGGAGAGGATTCTCCGATAGTTTAATTTCTACTCCAGGAAGTGGGAAACATAAAAAGTATGTACTG